CTAATTTTTAAAAATATCCTTTAATTTTTTTTAAGTCAACGAAGAAACACAAAATGAATTTTCTAAGTTAATAAATACGGAACACTATTTTCTGGAAATTATCAGCGGTCCAACTAACGCCAGCCTTAGTCAATTTTATTACATGTTAGTTAATTTTACATTCACTGAATTTGAAAAGTATCGTTAGATGATGTTGGAAATATTTAGAGGCAAATACCTTTTCGTCATTGACTTATCGCAATATCGTCATTACTTATTACAGATGTCACTAATAAAAAAATGTTTCAGATAGGTATCGATTATTTTATTGCAATGCTACATCTTTTCTATGATTCTCTTCTTTCAGAGTGATACGACTTTCTTACCTCATCCTTCATCTCGACTATACGATCCATTGTGATTCCTCTACGCAACGTCTTACATCATAAGACATTTGACTCCTTGCGTTAAATAAGCGTAATGCAACAAGGGGCGGGGGGGATAAAGGAGAGACACAGAGGCATAGCGTATCGCGTATCGTCGTATGTACACCACACGTGCGTATTTTTCCTGCGGTATATATATAATTCAACTTGCCACGTCTTTCACAATCTTCACGATATTCACTGTCATTTAAACTAAAATTATTTTTAATTCGTAGAATAGACACACAGACGGTCAGTCAAGTCGAACATCCGTCATCGTTTCGGTCAGCTGTTAGAACAGCTTTTAGCTAGAACTTTTAGTGAGTAATTCAAATGAATTAAAATACGCACCTATATATCGTGAAATAGTTTTAACGCGAGTTAACATCGATATTTCCAATTAATTTTCTATTCTTAATCGTAGTAAAAATTCTGTGCCAGGCTGACTACAATTGAAATTGATTTTATTTTAAATCAAGATTAAAATTGATTTGATCGATATTAATTCAACAGTCCACGCGAATATTTTCAATATCACGCGAAGATATCCGTGTCTCGTATCTCCCTCAAAGAGCAGCGATACATAGGGAATAGAAGAGGTAAGAAGAAGAAAAAAAATAAATAAATAAATAAATATCCCAAGAAATCCAGCAAGCTGTTATAATTCTTCTCTGTTGTTACGTAAATTCCAGTCGAGATAATTAGAAGGTCTGGTGAGACTATGTCCTCCGCTAAATCATTTGTTGCTCTGATTGTTGAACGGTGAAAGGAGGAACGCAGAATGGCAGAAATATTCAGCCGATACAAATTATCGTGGACGTTCCCTCTTGAAAAAGAATCGCAAGGACATGCGTGGTAAAAGTATACGTTTCTCTCGATTTTCTATTTCAAAGCTGTTCTACGAAACTGGAAACTCCCTCTAAGGAATGATTCTAGGTATGACGAGCGATGAATTGATCCGACATTCGCGTGACGTTCGTCTGATTGCAGGCATGTTTGTTATCGATGAATTGGACACGTGTTTGAATTAATTAAAAGCGATATGATATTTTTTTTCTTTTTACAAATTTTTATTGTTTCAGGTCGCGAAAATTCTAAATATGAATTCACACAAATATCTGCATTTCGGATGAAATTCTATGGAAAACATTCTGCAGAGAAAAATTGTGTGTTGTTCAAGAGCTATATTACATTAATATATATATATATAT